AATAGATTTTTTTGCAAATTTAAAAATTTTATATTTTGTTTTATCACCATTAGCTAAAGCAGTTTTATTACTTGAAGCATGTTCTACTACATTAGGAGATTGTTATTTAGGATTAGCAAAAATTAGTGCAGCAATTAAAAAATTACCATTACAACAATATTCATCATTTAAACAAGATTGCTTTGATATTATTAATAGTCGATTAGAAGAATATGATGATGATCTTTATATATTATCATATTTTTTATTACCACAATTTAGAGGTATTATTTTATATTTAATATATATAAGTTTTTTATGTAAATATTAATTTATACTTATTTTAATTTATTTTAATTAGGTGCAGGTTTTAAAAATGGACAATTTATCCGCATTGTAAAGGTTGCAGTAGAAATTTGGAAACAAATGGGAAAAACTTTATTATCTGCTAATATTCTTGTTGCTCATTTACGAAAATATAAACAAAAACAAAATCCTTACCATCTTCCTTTTACTATTGGTCATGATAATCCATTGGCTTGGTGGAATACTATTGAACCAGAACCAAATTATTTGCAAGTACTTGCATTAAAAATGCTTTCAATAATACCTAATAGTGCTAGTTGTGAAAGAAACTTTTCAATGCTTAATTGGTTAACAGGAAAGAAGAGAATGCAATTAAATATAGAAACTCTTGAATCAATGAGTAAATTATGCACTTATTATAATAGTAATGCTAAAAAAGAACTTTCTTATTTTGCATTAGATATGACAGAAGAATCAGTAATTGAGTTATTACGAGAAACAAATACTGAAGCAATGGATGAAGCAATAATTAATGAAGAATTACTACCTCTGATTATTGATTTTCCTAATGCTGATCTTCCATCTGGAAATACTAGAGCAGCATGTGCAGCCCGATTAGCTGCATTGGATACTAGAAATAATGAATTACAATTACAGGATAATGTAACTTTAAACAAATATACTACTAAATTAGAACAAAGCTTTCAAAATAATACATTATTTATCGAGGAGGTTTTAAATTTAGAAGCACAGGAACTTGTTGAAGAATTAGAAGAATTTTCTTATGAAGATGATAATTTTTCAAATGAAAGTTTAATAGATGAAGAAGATAAGGATACAGTCATGAGTTTAAATGAAGAAAATACTAATTGGGAGATAAATGATGTAATTGGATTTGATGAAGAATAAATTTAATTTGATTTCAAGATGTAAATTTTTTTTTTTT